AACCGTGATTATAAGGAAAGCATGCCAAGTGGCATGGCAGTTGACACTCCCAACTGCCTAGGGACTTAGGAACATTTCTGGGACTAACTGCTAGTAACTGCTGCTATCCTCCAGCCTTGGTTCCTGATTTCCAGCCTTGCCTTGTCTCTGCTCAATAGGAATGGCAACGGGTCGGGGCGGGGCCGGGGACCGCACTCCCCGTCCCCGATCCCCGAAGGTTAAAAAATCCCCGTCCCCGTCCCCTAACGGGGATCTGGTTTCCCCGACCTCGAAAAATCCTCGAATTTTTTTTTTTTTTGAATTTTGTTCAAGAACAACAAATCAATATATATGATATATCAATATGTTTCATCATCATCGACAGATTTAAATAAATAAATAAAAATTAATCTGAAAAAAAAAAATGTTTTCAACAACAATACTAAAAATCATCATCAACAATAATACAATACTATCAAGATCAGATCAGAGAGAGAGAGAGATAACAGATCTGAGTACAGATCTAACAGATCTAAATACACCTCCATCGACGGTGGCTATGGCGGTGGGTTTGGTGGTGGTGAGAGAGAGATGGACCTTCTGCGGCGGCGGCGGCGGCGGCCATGCGGAATAGAGAGAGAGAAACTGAGGTGAGGAGAAGAGAGAGAGGGAGGGTCCGGGCCAACGGTGGTGGTGGTGTCGCCGTGCCACTGTGTGAGAGTGAGAGTTGAGAGAGAAGAACGAGAGAGTTGAGAGAGAGTGAGGTAGTTGAGAGAGAAGAACAAGAGAGTTGAGATGAGAGAGTCAGAGAATAGGAGAGACGGTTGTGAGCTCGAGATGTATAATATAATAAAATTGGTTAGATAGGTACAAGCTATATAATATAATAAAGATAGGTAATAATATAATAAAGATAGGTAAGGTAGGTACAATTTTTTCAAAAAGATCAGGACAAGTGTTAGCAACTTGAGGCATATATATAATAAAGATATATAATATAATAGCTATTCGGGGCTGTTTGGGGTGGGGCCGGGGTTGGAAAATTTATCACCGTCCCCGGCCCAAAAGTTATCGAGGATTTAATTTTTAATACCATCCCCGGCCCTATAGGGATAATTTTCGGGAAAAACCCGTTCTAATCGGGGTCGGGTCCCCGTCGGGCCGGGTTCAAATTGCCATCCTTACTGCCCAACATGGGTAACTGCTGCCAACAGACAAGCATAATTGCTAATAACTGCTGTGTTGTTTGCCTCATCAAGTCAGCCACGAATTTGGTTGTCTTGGCCCCCCGATCAAGTTTTGCCTACTGATTGCTTTGAACCCCCAAGTATGCTGCAGTCCACATTCGGATCATGTTAATGCCTTGCATTTGTGCAACCAAGGGTTGTGTGCTGCTGCCTCAACACTTACCCAACTTTTCACCTTGCTGTTTTGGCATGTCACCATCATGCCATTGCCTTGGCTGGACATTGGCGCAAGGTGTTGCCAATGCCAAGCTTGCAGTCTTCAACTAGAAGGTGCTAACAGCTAGCCATTAGGAAACTAGATTGGCTGTAAACTCAATAGAAAAGAGAGAAACCAGAAATTTTCAAAATTCTAACATCCAATTTTCAGAGGAAATAAATCTAGATCCCAAAAAATTTCTTGTCCATATTGCTATTAAAATGGTCAAAGTCAGGAGTCAAGGACTCTGGATGTTTCAGGTGGTTTACCCTGGGATGCATTTGAACAGCCATTTCCATAATAATCATGGCATTATCTCAAAGATTGAAGAGAATGTTACTCATATTATTATAGTTCAATCACTACTTTTTATTTTTTTACATGCTGCTGTACTTGGTTTCACTTTTCATATTTTCTCAAAGCTAAAAGGAAACATTTAGGGGAATGTTATCTGTACAATAGAAGTTGTGTGCAATGTTAAATGTGTGCTCAAGGTTGTATTTCTTTATTTTAATAATGCTAAAGACTGAATTCTTTAAGCAATTATGCATGTATTTATTACTATATGTTGGGCCCACAACCAATGTTGCATGATCTTTCCTCTGTTTTGAGTGTCACAACAAGTGTGATTCTCATATAACATAACAATGCTGAAAGATGGGACAAACTAAGATGAGTGGAAAAACTCAGAACTGGAGAAAAATGTTTTCAAGACATTTAGGATAGCCCTGATGGTTGGTAAAATGAAGAGTAACAAGGTGATGAAGAATCAAAGTTGAAGATTGGAACTTGAAATTTTGGAGTTGAAGACTGCAGATGTCGTCATGCATGGATTAATAGAATAACTAAGTATCATGTTTTACTTGAGCATGTGATATATGACATGAGATGGATGAAGGCCTATATTACCAACTGTAGAAAAGTTGTGGATCACAAGTTATTGAATCTTGTGTCAGCTTTAAGAAGAATTGGTTCATTGTTTGGAAAGGCTTTCTGTTGGAGAAGAGAGGGGGGAAAGCTGAGACATGCATATTTTGTATGAAAGCTGACAGTTGACAGGGACAGAAAAGGAGTAGGATAAGGAATAACTGTTGGTTTGAATCACCTCAGGTTTAGCTTAGTCAGTACCTATTGTTTCAGTTTGTGTTTGATTTGGTTCGAAACTCATCAGATTTGGTTGGAATCTCTTTGATCCTACATATCTGTGTTCGTAAGGCTTGATTGAAGTCTTATTTGATGCGATTTGGTTCGGTATTTCTTATATTTGTATTCGAATTGATTTGATTTGGACTGATGTGTGTTTGATTGGTTTAGATCTTGGGTGTGGTTCAACTTCAGTTCACTTCTACAGATTTCTCTTTGATTGATCAGAGTTGAATTGGTGTGCTTTGTTTTGGGTGGCTCACAAGGGTTGATGAACATTAGTGGCGATATTGGTGCACATCTACCAATTGGAAGGAATGATGCTATTCAAGATCAAAATCAGAATCATCGAGACGAGATGAGATGAAACAAATGAGTAGATCAGTTGTTACTTTGGAAGAGGTGGTGTAGTGAATGCAACCTCTTGCAAGCATATAATGATATAACTTTGCAAGTTTCAAATAGCTTCTTTGAAGTTGCATGTTTGGTATGCCTTTATTTTTCTTTAGGAAGTTGTTTTGAGTTAAGTAGGTTGTTTCTTGTGATGCTTAGTTAGCCATTGTGTCCAAAAGGAAGGAAGGAAGCGAGGAAGGAGTGCAATGCCGAATTCTAGCTCGTGATCAGTTACTCTCGTGTGTTTTTCCTAGTGGATGCTTTGTCCATCCTGTCATTGTGTCATGTTTCTCAGCCTTGCTTTCGAAGATGTCTTCTACAGCTGGTCTCATTCTGACAGGTTAGAGGTGAAGGGGTTGGGAAATGGGGGTCTGTCCAAGCTTTACCTATGGTGGTTTAGCCAAGGAGAAATTTCTGTATCAATCTTACACCAGAGTTTCTTCAATTCCAACAAAAGGAAAAATTGGTGAACATCCAAGGCTTTATTTATAAGAACAGTAAACTGTGACAAACATTCATTCAGCGTCAATTGTCTCAAGGTATTCAAATAAACAAAGGGATGAGCACCAACTATTTGGATGCACACAGTGAATCCATAACTTTGAAGTTTCTGATATGGAGGATCCACAAAAGAGTGGCAGCCATAGAGCATGCGCTTCGAAAGTTTAGAAGAAACAATGGGCAAATGCAAGGATGTAGTGCAATGTCTTCACAGACGGCTAAATTGTGAGAATCATGTTTGTTCTTGAGCAAAGAAACGCAGCACCTGTTCCTCACTTACGATTACATGAGTAGTGCTACATTGAGCTCAATTAGCTGCTGCTTAAATTTCAGGACAAGTTTCTTCAAGAGGGTACTGATGTAGTAGAATAAATACCTTAAGTGTATGTTAAGTGGCCTACTAGTTGTAGCCTAATTGTAGTCTATAAATAGGTGATGTAATACTATTTTACTGAGTTTTAATTGAAGAATATTGATATTGAATAGAACCCAGAGCTTTGGTTTCTCTCTTCAACCGCAAGGGGTTTATCACTATTTGGGAATTTGTTCTCTCTCTCTCTCTCTCAATTGATATTTGATTTGCATTTTGATTGCATTATTTGGTATCAGAACACAGATTCTGTGTTTCTTCCTTCCTATTACATTTCGATTGCACTGATTGAATATTGATTGATTCTGGAAATCTTAGATTTCCTCATGCCTTCTTCTTCTCCTTCTTTGGTTCTTCTCTCTTCTTCTTCTACTGCTTTTTGGTTATGCACCCACAGTAGTCAGGATGGTTGATCCTATTGTCATGTAGTTGAGGATATTACCTTCGAGGTGTTGAAAGAAATTTAATGTTGACTTGAGTCACTTATCAAGTCCTCATCCTTTGAAAAATCATACATAAGGGAACTCAAAACTGATTTCCAATGAGTAATATTTATCTAATAATGCTTAAGTTAGTGTATGAATAGTTGTTGGTAAGAAGGATTTCTACAAAATATTTTATTGTAATTTGTACCTAGGATACCTGTACTCCTGTTTAAATGTAAACTTTATGTTGAGCCCCTCTGACATTCAGAGAGTCGAGAAAATTGATTACAAGTTGAATAGTGGTGGGAAATTCTCTGATAATCAGTTCTTTGGATAAAAAATGTTAAAGCCTTAGCGATGATCATCTTTTAAGCTTCACTTTCTTGGCTATTGTTTCTCTTCATCTTCTTCCTAATCAAGGAAATTCTGTTACGAATGCTCAAATGGTCCATATTATTGATCACAAAAGGTTGTTTTGATCAGTCTCATTGCCCTGTGTGCAATGCATGTGTTATGTGATTTGTGCAATTTTCATTGCATTATAATCCCTGCAAGCCTACAATGGCCTTGTTCAAATAACATGCTACTCTTTTTGTATAGTACGTTGGTCAAACAGTAATCAACCATGATTCCATGAATGCAACCATGCATACTTTCTTGATGTTGGGAACGATTCTAGTTTTGTGTGCACTATGTTTACTTTGTGAAGAAATCTCATTAATGCATGTCTATATTTTTGGATTCAGTTAGCAGGTACAGCAAAGTCCAGATTTTCTGCAAAGGACTATAGTGATCATATGGCACTTGTTCGTGCATATGAAGGATGGAAAGATGCAGAAAGAGGAGGATCAGCATATGAGTACTGCTGGAGGAATTTCCTTTCTGCCCAAACACTTCAAGCCATCCATTCTCTTCGGAAGCAATTTAGCTTCATTTTGAAAGGTGCTGGATTGCTAGATGCTGATGCTGGCACTAACAATAGATTAAGTCACAACCAGTCATTGGTTCGTGCAATTATATGTTCTGGCCTCTTTCCTGGAATATCATCTGTAGTGGTACGGTAACTCTACTTGCAGTTGCACTTGTAATTTTTATCGAATAGATTTCAGTTCGGATAAGATGTGCTACTTTCCTCTACATGTGCAGCACAGGGAGACATCCATGTCCTTCAAAACAATGGATGATGGCCAGGTCTTAATTTATGCTGTAAGTATTGAATGGAAATGTTTTGCTGAAGCCTTAGAAATATATTTTGTTTCTTTTACTGATTCCATAAGCAATTCTGTGCAGTTGACTCATGAACATAATATCCACTCTATTGCATCTTAACTAGAACTATGATTGCAAATTGCATATATGGTATAAACTCTGATTCTATGTTTGGTTAAATGGAATGAAAAGTGTAATAGAATAGAATGCTCATTCCTTAGCGTCCTTATGGAATGATCATTTACTTACAATGGTGATTGATGATTCTATTTGCAATATATTTTTAGTGAACCAAACACTACCTGAGATTTTGTGTAGTGTTTCACTTATGTGAATTGAGTGTGGATTGGACAAGAAGATCTTAATTGATGAAAATATATTTCTATAGATGAGAATTGACACCTGAGATAAATTTGTGGGGTTGGGGCAGGGACATTTCTTCTACATATGGCTTAGGATGCCTGTAATGTACATGTCTCTGGCCAAAAGTGGCCCATCCACCCTAATCTAGTCTTTCTGCTGAAGCTTGGTCTGTGTCCTGATTTAACTTGTTTTACTTTGGCCTCCATGATGATGTAATAAACTTTCAACTAAAAATAAAAGTTGAATATAAGTTTAAAGATCCTTCACTGAAAGGGAAGAAAAAGGCTTGTGCAGATTAAAACCTTCATCTACATTGGGAAGAAAATGATTATGATTGCGTAGTTATCAAACATGATGTGCACTGCATGCAAATTTTTGTTGTTATGGATCTCTTTCTTGGTTAAGACAACCACATCCCAGGTGCAATTTTTTATTTCTTTTGCAGTTTGAAGCAGTAGCTGCAAATTTTCTGTATTTGTTTTGTTTTTTATTTTAATTTGCAGCAGTTTAATCTCTAGAAGAGCGTATTTGTATGAAACCTGCATGAAGAGTTGACTTTTTCATTGCCATGATGAAATATGATTTATGGAGACAGACCTCTTATGGGATTATCTCATTTTAATCATGCTCAATAGACTGCTTTTGCACTGTACGAGCTTGGCTTTTCCTAGATATGCCTATTTATGCATAAATTCTTGCATGCATACATGTTTACTGCATGCGTACATATGGTAAATACACAATTATCTCTCTATGTTTAACTGAGAATATTTAAATGTATTCCATCATGATACCATGCTTAACTCCTCAATTATCTCTCCCAAAATTGTTTATCCATTTTTTGAGAAATCATTGGATGGGGAAACTTTCATATTGGAATGATAAAAATTGTTGTCCAAAATAATCTGATGAGTGATGAGAACATTTTGGCCTGTTAAAGAGAGTGCATACCTATAATTAGGAATTTTCCCCTTTCTAAAGGATACCCCTCAACTGCTAGACTCTGTTCTACGAGACATTTATCTGATGATGCTAATTATTTTGCTTCAGAATTCGGTGAATGCACGTTACCAGACTATTCCGTACCCATGGCTAGTCTTTGGTGAAAAAGTGAAGGTCAATACTGTTTTCATACGTGATTCTACTGGTGTTTCTGATTCTATTCTGATCCTTTTTGGTGGTAATCTCAACCATGGAGTCTTGGTAATTTCCTTCATTGCCAAATGTTTTTTGTGTTTAGTTTTGAATGAAATCACTTTGTAATTTCGAATTTGCCTTCCCTGTAGGCCGGACATTTGAAAATGTTGGAAGGCTATATTGAATTCTTCATGGATCCAAGTCTGTTAGACTGTTATGTGAAGCTTAAGGAGGAACTTGATAAGCTTCTGCAAAAGAAGGCAAGTTTTGGAAACACTACTTTAAAAGAGCATGTTTGTCCGTAAGTTTTGTCTATTAACAAGGTGCATATATGTACACACACACACACATACACAAATAGTGCTTAACAGAAAATCATGTTCCATATTCTGCCCCTTCTAGCAAGATAGCGGGAACATATTCTCTTATTCTCAAATACAAGCCTCGGATGAATAAATGCATCCCATAGTTGTGCCATTCTCTATCGTTTCTTTTATAATTTTAGGAACTAATTTTTTTAAGTGATTAATCATGCCGAGTTCATTATTTCCAAACCGTTGTATTTCTGGTTCATTCTGTGGGAGAAGGGTACTTGCATGAATAAACACATGCTAAAACAAAGCATCTGCTAGTTGATTTAGCTTGATGTCATCAAGACTAAACTTGATGTATCATGTAAGCTAGCACCTAGTGTGCATGGCTTGGACATATATCATACCCATCCATGCTGTACATCTCACAATTCTGATACCATGTGCTATGGTCTTCGGTTGAACTCAACCCCAAAAGCTAGGCTTGTGAAGTGAGGGTACCCTCAAGCACTGCACGTCCCCTTTTGTACCTAGCCGATGTAGGACTTCGCTTCATAGTGAGCACATAATTGAGTTGAACTTCTTTTCTCCCTTTCTCCTCTTCTCCTCCTCCTCCTCCTCCTGAAGAGGTGTCAGCCTCCCTTTAAGTTTACCATCCAACAAATTTAACTTTCAAGGGATTAGCCACTATTCTATATATAGTAATGGTTAGAGTAGCCATTCATTAAAGTGCTAGAGTGTGGGGATTGTTCCCATTATTGAAATCACAGTCTAGGATTGTTATTTGTACATACAAACTTTTTTGGTGTTAAGATCAAAAGTTGAGAGGGAAGCCATTCATGTGTGCCTGAGAGAGAGAGAGAGAGAGAGAGAGAGAGAGAGAGAGAGGTGTTGGGGGGGGGATTATATGTTCCTCTACCAAATACCTCTCTATTATAATAGAAGAGGAGAAAGAGAACAAAGAGAGAAGAATTTATAAGAACTATGGAGGCCATAGAATTGGACTCTGCCGATTTATACATGAGAAACAGAGCACTTAAACGCTTTTTTCTCTTCAAATTTAATTTGTTTCTAGGACTAATCCAATTTTGTACCCCTAGGCCGATTAATAAACGTAAAACTATGGAACTGACCACTGGCCTTGTATCTATAGGCCAAGTGGTATCATGTTGGCTTTCTTGACCATTTTTTTAAAAATAAAACTCAAATTTTGTAAAATATTTCTATATATATATATATATATTTATGAAAATAGTATCAAATATATTTGAAATGGGACCCTAAGACTTCACCTTATTGTTTTCCCATCAAGGTTCAAACTTACAATATTGGTTGTTTGCTCAAGGACTACTAAGATAATTTGATTAGTGTATTTCATCAATGGGGCAATATGTAATGATAAGCCATGGACAAAATTTCTTTTTTAAAATTTAAACCAGTGTTACTTGAAAATGCTAATACCGTACATGTTCTGAAACATGATACACTTTCGTTCCAAAACGGAGAATTTAGCGATCCAAAGCATTCCTAAAATTTCTCCATTATATTTTTTGTAAAGTTTCCTATAGAAAGAAAAAATTGAAATATAATGAACTAAAACTCAAAGAGAATAGAGTTTTTGCATTACCAAATATAAAACAAATGGACCATAATGCTTCTAGAATAGCGTTTTTATATTATTAATTTATAACAATATTTTATTGGATGCCTAACTATTAAAATATAATTGCTCTTATATTTAATAGTCTCTTAAATTCTAGTAATGTGATCTATAGAACCCTACTCCTATTGCACCACATTTTAGAGCATGTGGTGTGCCTCGTTTTTGTTCCTATTCCTCGTACCGGAACCTGTGTTTCATGTAACATAGATTTAAACTACAATAGAGGTAAAATAATGACAGTCACCATCTAATGTACATGACCTAGATCTAAGCCAAACTAAGCCTTGCGTCCAATAAGGTGGGGTTGGCTACATAATTCTTTTTCGTAATTTCGCTTTGTCAAGGGCTATATGCTTAGTTAAATTAAATAAATTTTGTATCCTTTTTAACTACCACAGCCCATGTCAGTTTAGGTCCTCCTCACCTCCCAAACATTTCCATTAATCATTTCTATCTTCCTTACCGTTACATCTACAAGTTCTTGTTGTATATAGCCAAACCATCTTTGCCTAATCTCCTTCAACTTGTCTTCAATTGGAGCTACTCCTGCCATTTTATGATTATATTTATTTATAATTTTTTCTTCCCTATCTTTACTGTACATTAGTCAAAATATCTCGATTTTAGTTTCACTCATTTTTTGAATGTGTTATTTCTCAGTTGCTCAACATTTTGTCTTGTAAAACTTCACTGGCCTTATAATAGTTGTATAAAAAATTTCCTTCAATTTAAATATGCTACAAGCATTCCTCCACTTGAGCGTGCCTACATGGATTGCATCATCTCCAAGACTCTGACTTCTCTGTCCTTCATTAATTATTGAACCTAAGTTACAAAAATGTTTACTCTTTGTTATCTCCTAGTATTTGATCTTCACATTCCCATTATTTCTACTTCTAATGTTCCTAAAAACTAAAGTTCATTCCATATATTCAGTTTTAGTTATACTACTTTTAAACTCTTTTGACTTGAGTGATTCTCTACAGACCATCTGCTAGAACAATATCATTTTCAAATAACATACTCCATGGGACATCATCTTGATGTGTTTAGTTAATTCATCCACGACTAAGCCAAATAGGCAAGGACTCAAAGCTAACACTTGATGCAATACGATAGTGATTGGGTTATTCACTAGTTTCTCCTGTACGTAATGTAAGTATAATCACAATCCCATCATCAGATGTTTCGGGAAAGTTTTGAAAATTGTCATGTTGGCATGTCCGTGTTGCGTTGTGTTGCAATTTTGAAAAATTGTCGTGTCAGCTTGTCCATGTGTCATGTGTTCATATCCATGCTTCTCAGGTCTTATTAATCAAAAGGATGAACATTTCTTATTTTGAAGACATAGTCATAGTTAAGATAAGATGCAAGCCTACATAAACACATGTAAGCCTTTGGTGCAATAAGAGTTGAGTTTTGGAGAATTTGTGATTTGGTTTTGTGTAAGATTGTTTAACCTCTGCAAGCCATTGGTTTTCTTCTTCTTCTAATTATTTTTAGCAATTTCTAGCACTTTGTACTCTACAGGTGCACCTTAAAAGTCAATGCTTTCAACCCTCAAATCATCGTCTAGCCAACCAAATTAATCCCTACATCAAAATCTGACCCTAACACCCCACAACAAATACTAGTGTGTTTGATTTGAGTTTTTTGGATTAAATTTTTTGAAAAATGAGTTTTTTGGTTTTCGTATTTTTTTGTTTTTAGTGAATATTTTTAAAATTTTAAACATTGTTTTTTACTTTTTTAGATGCACCTTACTTAGATGTATCTAAAAAGTAAAAAATTTGTGAAAAAATATTTTTAAAAAATAATAAATACATAAAAATATAAAAATGTACTGAATTCTTGTTTTTTTTTTTTTTTTTTTTTTTTTGGTATTTAGTGAATTTTTAAAAGGTTTTTTTCACAATTTTTTTACTTTTTAGGTATATTTATGTTAGGTATGTCTAAAAATTGGTTAAAATATTAAAAAAATTCAGTAAAAACAAAAAAAACACGGAAAACAAGAAAGTAAAATTTTCTGAAAAGTGTTTTTGAACTTCCCCCATATATATATATATATATATTTTGATTAGCCTGACTCTCCCATATTCAGACCTAATAGACCCTGACCTTTTGCCCTACCTTTCCACCATCAAGTTAACTCCAAACGTGTAGCTTTGGTTGTTGCCTAGACCTTTGAAGCACGCGTTCTCAGAAAATCCAGCATGCTGACAATTTGAAAGTCAACCCTTTTTTGGTTCTTCTTCATCTACAAACCCTAATCCATTTCTTCTATCATTTATAACCCTAACTTGACATGCCTTGTGAAATGATTTTTCACCATAAAACAATTCACAAGGCTGAATATTTTGAATATTCAAAGTTGGCCTACATCTGGAACCAAGATAACCAAGTCATCTTGGGGATACATATTGGTTGTTACTAAAACATTGATTGATTTATCCTGGCATAAAGTGATACAATTATAGTCCACATCCATTACACAATTTTTGGATAGCATGAGTTGTCTCAGATCGAAAGCATGTGATTTCGAGTTGACATCATTTTGGCCGATATTTTGAATCCTGTTTTTCATGTTTATCAAACAAGATAAAATAGTTCTTAATTAATCATCTTTTGCATTATTCACAAAATTCCTAAACCAAGCATAGACCAAAAGCCTATCAAAATAAACAAATAATCATAGATTGTTATGAACTTGTAAAAATAACAAATGCAGATACTTATTAGATACATCTTAAATTGCTAAAACCAATGCAATTGCTATAACATTAATCATAGGGTGTATCAATCCCCCCTTGTTGAAGAAAACTGGACTCATGCGAATCATAATTGTTGACTTTGATACCAAAGTTGATATAGTTTTTGTCTCTGCTACTGAATTTGGATTGACATGGCTCTAATAGTTATCCCATTAAGCATTTGGAGTTCTAATCTTTATATAATTTATTTTATTTTTTAATGGAAAGAGAAAGGGGAGAGGGGTTCTTAATTATTTTCTCATTGAAATATCTATTTGTCTTGCTAATCCCATTTGCATCCTTGAGGCAACCCCAACCCAACACACGGCTAGGTGGCCTACAGTTCCTTATCCCAACACCCCTACCAGGGTTCGGACAACGACCATTCCTATGGAAGAGCCAGGGAGATGCCACTAGGTCAACAACATACCTCGGCCAACTTGAATTACCTAAATCAATTAAAGTGTCATAACAAGCGCTTGTGGGTCCCATGTCAAGTGCCTGCAGTGAATCATAATTGTGGTGAGATCCATGTTAGAACATTATAATGCATCAAGGGTGGAGAAACAACCTTTGTTTCAATGTGCCTTCCATGGAAGGACCGTGCATCAAGCTAAGTTGTAGATGTACTCGAATGTTCTTATATTGATTCAATCATTTTCTGATTCCTTCTGTGTATGTGTGAATCTAAGTATATATCTCTTTACTATTTTAAACTCGCCATTTTACTTTACATATACAGATGAAGTACAGAAAAATGGTCACCTTTTCTGCAGAGTATAATATACTGATTATAAATCCTTGATTGGATTTTTCTGTATACAAATGCGTTTCTCTATTGTCGTTGCTGTCTATATAGTGAGGTGTTATAGCCAAGTACTAATCTACTCGTGTCACAAAGCTCTTTCTAGTTCAACCTAACAGTTGGGTGATAATGGTATTGCAATGTTGCAGCTCCAAGATCCTAGCCTCGACATCCAGAAGGCAGGCAAGTACCTCATGCTCGCTGTTCAGGAGCTAGTATCAGGAGACCAATGTGAAGGGAGGTTTGTATTTGGCCGTGAAAGCAAGAAGCCCAAGGAGTCTAGTGACAGTGATAGATTTACAAGAGATGGAACAAACCCTAAGAGCTTGCTGCAAACACTCATGATGCGGGCGGGGCACTCCCCTCCAAAGTACAAAACAAAGCATCTCAAGACAAATGAATTCAGAGCGTTGGTAGAGTTTAAAGGAATGCAATTTGTGGGGAAGCCCAAGAAAAACAAACAGCTTGCAGAGAGGGATGCTGCTTTAGAGGCATTAGCTTGGTTGACTCAGACCTCTGACAAAACTAATGATGAGGATGATAATTCCCCACCTGATGTCACTGACAACATGTTGAAACTCCTTGGTAAGCGCAGAAGATCAAAGCGGCGCTCGGGTTGATGATACATTCATGTCAAATGGATCTCTTTTTGCAGTTGTGGTGCCAAAGAATGACAACTAAGCCATTTGTGATTTATGAATATGATGATCTCACACCTGGTGTCCCTAACAACATGCTAAAACATGGAGGCACTAGGATTGAAGCACCACTTTGGCCAATGTCGTACTGAAATGTCCCGTTTACCTGCTGTTTGGCCAAAGAACAGCAGTGAACAAAGTAGATGCTTTTCAAAACCGGTCTCGGAGCCTAGTGGTAATTTGAGCCCTAGATGATAAGGTTCAATATCGTTGTGGAGGAAGAAATCAATATTTACACAATTTTGTCCTGTGATTTGAATCTGTTAGATGCAGCCCCCGCATGAGGGGAGTTGAAGTGCAATATATGTTTGTTGTTTTTAATACCAGAATGGCAGGGTGGGGGACGTAATATACGAGAAAATATTGTAAATTTGAGGGTTTTTTTTTTTGGTGTAAAAGAAAAACAAAATATTGTTATTAAGATATAATTTATATTTGAACTTTGATTATATTCCTGTTCAGCATTTATTATCTGCATCTGATCTGAGTTATTGAAACTGAATTTTTTTTTTTCTTTTAAAAAAAAAAAAACTTGGAAGGCATGGCATGTAAATGTATAGAGGCAATTTTTTAGGCCAGTCTTCGTGAAAGTTGCTTAGTGTTCTGTTTGTAGACTAACGTATTGTTTGGTTTACTGAAATAAAATAAAACATAATTAAATAATCATTATTATCCTCTTTATGGAATAACTATTATTTTATAATGGTGAATGATGTTTTAATTTGTAATAGATATTGTCATTTTAACATAGATATTACAATGAAAAGATTATTTTATTTCACTTTATTTCAGAGCCAAATCTAGACGTGTAAGGTGGGTGGCCATCTGATCATAATGAGGAAATATCATTTTACTCTTTAAATTTTCACACGTTTTTCAATTTGAATCTTACATTTCGATTAATATCAATTTTTCATTCAAACTTTTGAAATTTTTGATCAATTTGGCCATTGTCATCACATTCCGTCTACAATTGGACAGAATGTGCTGATGTGGCACCAAAGTTCATTAAAAATTTCATTTTACTTTCCAAATTATACTTTAAAAATCAATTTGCCCCCTCCAAACTATACCTTAAAAATCAATTTACCCCGCACGTCGGTACATTCTGTTCAATTGTAGACGGAATGTGATGGTAGGAGTTAAATTAATCAAAATTTTGAAAGCTTAAATGTAAAATTAATATTAATCAAAATTTAGAAATCAAATTAAAAAACAAGTGAAAGTTTAGAGGGTGAAATAATATTTTCTTTGATCATAGAAGAGGCATTTATCAAAGCTCAAACTACTTGATGATAGAACTCTTTGTCACCGGCAGCGATCTCTCTCTCTCTCCTCGTGATGTGCCCTTTCCTCAGCCATTGTCCTATCCCTGATTTTAAAACATTAATTAGGTGAAAATTAATTGACCTATGCGTGATTATTTAATAGAAAATTATCCCTTCAAGTTCATTAACCAAAACATTTTGGGGCATTTCCCTAAATAAGCCAAAATAATAAAGGAATTCCCAAACTAAGCCTAGTTTTGAAAGAATTCCCAAAATGAGCTAACTCGCGGTTCACAATCGCGAGTTCAACACTTTTCCACCCCTGTCGCGCGAAACCTGCCAAATTTGAAACTCGCTGTTACCAAAAGCGAGTTTGATTAAGAACTCGCGGTTACGAAACGCGAGTTTAATTAAATTTTTTTTCCTTTGAACTCGCTTTTTACAAGCACGATTTCATGCTGAACTCACTGTTCATAACCACGAGTTTAGGGCAAATTTTTTTTCTTTAAGTGAAATCGTGGTTCACAACCACGATTTTAGAACTTCTATTTAAACCCCCCCAGCCCCGTGTTTTGCATTCACGCTCTCTCCTCTCGCCCTCTGCTGTCTCTCTCTCGCTCTTTTCTCTCTGTTCTCTCTCTCTCTGGAGCTCGCTGCTCTCTCTCTCTCTCACTCGAGCTCCCTCTGATTGATTCAGTACTGTCTCTCTCTCTCGTTGGTATGGCTTCTATCATCTACTTTACTGTGAATAAATTAGGATTAGAGTTTATATTTGTGAATATATTTGTGTTTGTGAAAATGTGAATAAATTAGGGTTAGGGTTCATGAATGTGGGGTTAGGGTTAGGGTTTATATTTGTGAATAAATTAGGGTTAGGGTTTATATTTGTGAATAAATTAGGGTTAGGGTTCATGAATGTGGGGTTAGGGTTAGGGTTAGGGTTTATATTCGTGAATAAAATGTTGTGAAATCAGAAATAATAAATTAGGGTTACGGTTTATATTTGTGAAATTTTAAGTATAGATAATTTGTTGAATGTGTTGAATTTGTTTAATTATAGATAATTTGTTGAATTTTAATTATAGATAATCTGTTGAATGTGAAATCTTTTGCTATAGATAATTTGTTGTTGAATTTGTTGAATGTGTTTAATTATAGATAATTTGTTGAATTTTAATTATAGATAATCTGTTCAATGTGAAGTCTTAAATTTTAAATTAGGGTTAGGGTTAGGGTTAGGGTTAGGGTTAGGGTTAGGGTTTATATTTGTGAAATCTGTTTAGAAATCTGTTGAATGTGAATGTTGAATGGTTTATATTTATCTTAAAGCTGTTTATAATTGTGAAATCTGTTGAATGTGAAATCAGATTTGTATTGAATGTGAAATCAGATTTCTGTTCAATGTGAAATCTGTTGAATGTTGCATCTGTTTAGCAAAATTTAAATATTATGTTTGAAATAAGAAAATGAGGGTTATGGTTTTCTATTGAATGTGAAATCAGAAATGAGGGTTTTGGTTTTGAATTAGGGTTTTGAATTGATGAATGTGAAATCATTTTTCAATTAACGGTTTTAAATTGTGAAATCAGAAATGAGGGTTATGGTTTCAGAAATTAGGGGTTAAGAAATTTATGATAAGTTAAAATTTTTAAATAATGTTATATAATTTTTTTTAGGAACAAATAATTTTTACGTAATGAATAGATAATTATCTATAATAATAATAATTACATAAGAAAGAGAAACGTTAATTTGGCTGTAAAAATTATTATTAATTAGGTGATGTGGAGTAGTAATAACTTAAAATTAATAAAATAACAAAAATAATTTTGTTCTAACTTTTAATTTTTTAAGTAAGAATAAGAAATTGAAAAGTAAGGAACAAAATTTGTGATAAGAAATTGCTATGGAAGTTTTCTCATCATTTTGGCCAGGAACAAAAATATATATATATATATATATATTTTGGAGATAGGGATATGGCAAAATAGAAAAGTCAGATAATTGAATTTTATGTCGGTGTAGGCCTGCTTAATATTTTCTATGGGCTCCTTTAAGTAGTACACTAAAATTTTATTAACAAATTAAAAATCTAACTACTTAGAATGTTGACCCAAAAATAAAAAATAAAAGAAAACTTTAAAATATGCCATTGATGCCACATGCCCCTACGATAAGAAAAATTGGTTTGACTAAATTTATGCACTAAATTCAAATGTAATCGTGGTTAAATATAAAAAGTATAGTTTACTTGAATTTCTTGCCCCATTTACTGTTGAATTTCATTTTCGAGTTTTTCCTCCTTAAAATTCATGACATTCCCTTTTATAAATTTGATATAAATAAATGACTTTTTAGAAGTGATCTACAAAAAATTGATATAAACATTAGAGGTCGAATAATTTGATCCACAAAAAATTAGAAGTCAAAACATTACTTTTTACCTTTTTGCCAAAAGAGGCCTTCCAAATCGTCATGGAAAATGCTATTATGAAAACATTTGATATATAAAAAAAAAAAAACAAATTTGTTTAGGAATTATGTTTGAAAAAATTAAAATATTTGATTTATAAAATGAGTCATTCTCGATAATTTTTACCCACTTGAATTATCCAATTGACTTATTCTCTATGCGCCTGCATTATGTTTATTCAATTAAGTTATAACTTTTTATGATAGTCGGATGTCTGAATCAGTTTACGTATTTATCAACTAATCTTACAATCCACACCAAACGTCCATTCCACGTAGATCCGACAAATCTCAATTAATGAAACATACTGAGATTTCAACTTGAGATCTGAAAGAAGCATACCTAATTTCTAACACATAATGAGAGCTCTTTAATATTAATGAAACTCAAGTTTGACTTGCTTTAGGTCGATAATTTTTTTGTTATGTTATTTCCCTAAGTTATTTCCTACGTTATTTCGGATGAGGTTATTTCCCTAAGTTAGGGAATAATGTCATAGGAAATAACCTATCAAATAACTTTGTCATTAAGGTCCCTATTGGCAGAGGGAAATGTCAATAAAAGTAACTTCTCTTTAATTGTCCACAAATCTCACTAATTTGATCACCAGTTATAAAAAATGACGTGAACAATGTTTGAAATTAAAATTAAGTACAAGTCATACAAAATCAGTTGAGTTATTTGAACTCAATGAAAAAAATAATAATTTCATAGAAAAAGTTACACTATGATTTAAGATTTTTGTATGACTTGTCCAGTTTTGTCCAATCGCACTGAATAAATACAATACTTCATACAAATTATAGCATAAAATTATATGAACAGAAAAATAAAAGAAGAATCTTCGTAATGTCTTCATATTCAAAATTATTGATATATCTGTCTAGGTTACAAATCACACTTTTAAGGAAATTTTATTTATACAAAAATTTTGAAGTAATTATTTTTTAAGAAAGTAATCTGATTAAGAAAATTTTGGATTTATACAATACCATGCTGTGGTTAAGTAGATTATGTTCTTTCTTCAGAAAACGGTGGATTGTGCAAAACCCACGGTTTTACTGTTGACGCGTGGATAATAATCACTTTCATAAAGTCAATGTAAAATAATTCAACAAAGAATTCAAAATCACACTCATTTCATTGTTTGTCACAATGACACTCACAAACACTCTCTGCTATCCCTCTCTCTGACACACAACCCACAAAACACTCACACCTCACATCAAGAACATATAGGCTTTTTACTATATATAAATATTTATTTTTTGTAAAATTCATACCAATATTTTATTAATTATAGTATATATAGTTATATAAGTAATTGATAATAGCCAAGAATAATTAAGTCAACTATATAAAATGAAATTATTTTCTTTACTTTAATTCTTAAATGTAAAATTATTTTTTTAGGTAAATTACACTGACACCCCTGACGGTTTATTGTGTTGAAAAAAAAAAATGTCATTGGAAAAAAATAAAAAATAATTTGAAAATTAAATTATTTTAAAAGAGTCTAAATTAATTAAAAAAAAAATAATTGTTTGCTGAATTGTATTTAAAAATAGGAATTGTATATATAGTTAAAAATTATATATGTTTGCAATGTGAGCTGAAGTGTTGGTGTTGTGTTAGACAGAGAAGATAGAGAGAGTAGAGTGTCGGAGTGTCGTGTG